AACTCTGAGTTCTTCTTTTGGTTGCTTTGGATTTCTTTCTCTGGACAAGGATTTTACAGCTGAAATCATATAAGTTAAATGTGAGTGCTGGGTACTATCCTTGCATTATCTTATTTAATCTTTCTAACAATCTTATAAGGTAGATTTTCCTCATGTTATACCTAGATAAGCAGCCACGGTCCTTTAACTCAGGGCGTGTCCGCGCTGGGCCGCTGGCTGGGGCCAACTGGCCCGACCCAACCTGCCCCGCTCCACCAAAGCCCCGTGGGACCGCTTTCGGGAACCTTAACTTCGCGTTCTCTCGCGCTCGCAGCTCCATTGAGCGCGCGCCCACTCTGGAAACGTGGCTCTTCTTTGCAAAAAAAGAAAAGAAAGAGAAGCCCTTGTTCCCGCTTCGTGGCACTAGACCTAGTTTTCTCCCCCTTCTCCGACTCCTCCCGGGCGAACTCGCCTGCACTCGGCCTTGCACGCGTTCTGCATCGCCTCTGCCTCTTGCGTGTTGTGCATTTGTGCACATTCATACTTGGTTTTGGAGCTGTCTGCTAGGCCTTTAAAGAAAGGAAGTTGGGGAGAGGAATTCGCTCCCGGGACCCTGCGACGACTTGTTTGGCTGCTTTTAGAACTCCAGGAGTCGGCTGGAATGCGGCGTTTGGAAGCCTCGCCCAGCTTATCCTGCTTTGACAGCATTGTTTACTTTGCGGACGAGGCCCCACGGGCGGGGGGAGCCCCGGGTTGGAGGACAGAGTGATGATAAAGTAACGCTCGAGTGATAGCCGAGGGAAAGGAGGTGGCGGTGGTGGGGCGCTGGCAGCCGTCAGGGGGTAGGGTTTTGGCAGCGACGGGCTTGGGGATAGAATGAAGAGGCCGTGATTAAGGGGGCGCCCAGGTCCGTGGGATGGCTTGATTTTGAGGAAGGGACAGCGCAGAGGGAGGTTCCCGGGCATTGCTTTTTAAAGAGACGACCAGGAACTGTTTACAAGGAAGAACACTGGGGTAGAGGTGAAGCCCTGAATTGGTCAGGGGAAAAGGGAGCTCAAAGGTTGTGCGTCCCCTGACTGGGCTGCTCTCCAAAGGGAGGAGACTGGAAAGCGATCTTGAGGGACCTCACTGAAGGGGACGGTGCTTCATTTTTATTCATTTTTAACTTAGGAACGTTGCCTTCTTTTGGTGATGGGGTGCCTTGTCGCTAGAGGGTTGGGACAGTGCTGGCAGCCCCTGCGGCCTCCAGGATTGCTGGATGGTTCCCGGAGGCTGACCACTGGTGAGTGGTGCTGCACCCAAACCGGCTCAGTTAGGCCTTGGCGGTCCTTGAATTCGTTGCACAATAGAAGGGACCTTAGAGTAAGAAGACATCCTTGCCAACAAGGGATAAAAGTCTGGGAGAGAGTTCTGCAGAGGAATCTAGCCAGGCCCTAGCCGGGTGGGGGTGCGGTGGCTGGCTCAGAAGACTTTAAAATGACCTGGGCCAGAGAAGTTCATGCGTGGAGAGCTGAGTTTAAGGAAGTTTAAACTGCAAAGCAGTGGAGTTTCTTAGCGAGGTGGCCTTAGCTCCTTGGAGAAACCTCCCTCCTGATCTGATCAGTTTAAGGCCAGCCCCTGAACATGTTGAGACCTCGCTTTTTAATTGTGAAAGATTTTGGTGGAGCAGAATCTGCTCCAAACACTGTCGCCTGAAACTTGAACTGACAGATTTTAAGGAATGGGATATTGTTTTTCTGAGGTGATGGAAAGGAATTTATAATGTAGAGAGTTCTGTGGGGTCAGTAAATGCCTCTGCTTCAGCTCATGGCACACATAACCTAATTACTAAAATCTGCAGCATACCAAAAAATATTTTTTGCGGATCTGACCAAAAATAGATGTAATTTTGATTCATGCACACCGGATGGCTGTTGTCATTTTTATTTGACAATCTAAGGGAAAAGAGGTGAGCGCCCCTGACTAGTCAGGGATTGCATGTTTTAAAAATTCTTGTGGCACACGGTTGAAAAAATCACTGATATATAGTAATCATTATTCCCCTGAGGGAAAGGCACAGAGGGTCGTCCTTTTGGCATATTTCAAAGAGCCAAGCTACCGTGCTTTTAAAATAAAGGCATGGTCTTTAGGCTTTGCTTTAAAGATAGAATCCAGTCTAGTAGTTTGGATTAGTTCCTAAAATGCTTGGGACTATTCTGCCAAGAATACTGATTCATTTACCCAACACACTTTCTCAAATATCATTGAACCTGTCTCCAGATGGTCTCTACACACACAGTTGTTGTGTGTTTTCCAGACTTAAATACTTGTCATGTTAGCTCATCTATTATATTAAGCCTGTATTCATTGGTAGACACATCCTGATCTTTGGATTTTTAACACAAAGACTTACATAATGTGTTTAGAGGATATGGCACTGTTGTGATTGGATTTAGTCACTATTTTATAGCTGTTAATGCAGTGCAGGTGAGATGTTTAATGCTTATTGATTTAATTTCCCCTTTGGAAATTTTCTGCCCTCATGGTTTGTTCATTTCTCTTGTTACATTCCTCTGTCCACCCCAATACCCTCACCCCCCCCCCCCCCCCGCCCCCATGTAATTTTATTTCCCAGAACCAGGGTAAGACTGTTGTTTTTTGGTCTCCTCCAGACACCTGAATTAATGTGGTTAGGTATCTTGGAGGTGAATTTTGTGGGCCCATTGCAGTGCTTTGCACAAAGGAGGACTACAGACAAAAGTAGGAAAGGCAATCCTTGTTCTGAATGGTGTTAAAATATATACATTTTTAAATCCTCATCCAAGGGTATGTTTTTGTTGATTTTAGAGAGGGGAAGGGCAAGAGAGAGAGAGAGAGACAGACACATCAATGTTTTACATCGATCAGCTGCCTCCCTTATGCCATCCTGGGTATGTGCCCTGACCTGAATGGAACCCGTGACCTTTCAGTGCACAAGACACTGCTCCCACCAACGGAGCCACACTGGCCAGGGCTGAATGGTCTTACAATCTTGGTGGGTATTGAGGATGGAAATGGTTTTTAGTTCTAGAACTAAATACTTGTACAGAGTTAAGTGCTAACATATATTTCAGACTTGAAAACATTTAGAAAAATTAGCGTCAGTAGGCTTGTCCTGGAAGTCTATTTCCTGGGAAGGAAGGGGATTAGCATTTCCTGTCTCAGACTTGGAGACATATACATGTCCGAGCATTCCAGGATAACGGTGTTGATGCCCTAAATGATCAGACTGGGCAGGCACTTTCACAACATAGTGACCTTAACTATCTCCATCTCTCCCCTCTTGAGTTCTTTATTCATTGGTTTCTCAAAATTGCCTTCCTGTGGTTTGAGAAATGAGAGGTGGGTGAAAACACACTTGCTGTAATCTCTTAGATTTCTCATATTGCTTTTTCATTATTAGGGAAGAGAACAATTTTTGTTGAATAAATTATAAGAAAAAATGCCTTTGAATTTTATTTTATTTTGGTTCTTTGAGAAGCTACTTCTAGCCTCAGTGGAAGGTAAAGTTATTATTTGGCTTCACTCTCACAACACTGGTTAGCTGAGAGAAACTGAGGCCCTGAAAAATTAAGTAACTTGTTAGTGAATGCCATACTGTTAATTAATGGCAGTGGGTAGCCTCAAATTTAGTGTCCTATCCCTATCCCAGTTTTCTCCTCCTCCTATCATAAGATGCTTATTTTGCTGAAAAAGGAAGTTTTCAGACATTTAAAGACACTTTTCTACATTTGGAATGCTAGCTAATGCGATTTTTTCTGCTACCTTATTCCTTTTTACATTCTGAACTGTCTCCTTCAGGGAGGCTTGTGCTCTGGGGAATGAGCAGAAATATAGACACTTCTTTTAGCCTTCCTTTCTGCCTTTTTCCCTGCATAACAGCCTCATCAGCTGTGGAAAAATATGCTGTTGCCATAACAAGAGCACCAGAGGGGAACTAACTATGATGGCCTGAAATCATGTTCGTGCCTTTACTCTTTCTCTCTGCCAGAGCTGTTATTGGTTCACTGGGCCAGAATTACCTGAAGGCCATTGGAAGGGTCAGTAAACCAAGGAGAAGGCGGAAAGAAGGGGAAAGAATCTGTTCAGATTGTTAATAAAATAAGAGAATTTTGGGGGAGTCCTGAGTTTTAATCTGGTTTCTTAGGAGAGAGGAATAGAGCTGTGTGTAGATATGGGGAAGGAAGGGCAGTTTCTGGCTGTTGTAAAACTTCTAATTCAGTGACCTGGGGCTGAGTTTATTCTAGGCCAAAAACTTCTGAACAAGCAAATGAACTCTGGTTCTCTAGCTTTTGTTAATTTACGAAAGGGCTTTCATTATTACATGTGAGAAGTGCATGAAAAATATAATGAAAGGTGGCGATCACTTTGTCTTGTATTCAAGGAAGATGGCATTTACTTATCTCAGAGTAACACAATTTAACATGTGTTGCCACTCCATGGGAGAGTCAGCTTTAGTCTCATATTCATGAGCAGCCAAAGGATTTATTAAAGAAGATATACTTTATTTTTTTTATGTTGGGTGCATTTTTGCTGATGAGAAACTGAATTCTGAGCCTGGAGAAAGGAGTAAGCAAATCCTCATCCTGGAGGTACTCAGCAGTGCTTTAAGGCAGGTGCATTCTGGCAAGAGAAGACAGGGCTCTTCTTACAAGTAGGGGTTGCAGCGTGCAGGACAGACCTGTGCAAGGTGGAAATGTCTAATAGGAAGGATGAAAAGGGACGAATCTGTAAACTAGCTCTCCCAGGGGTTATTTAGCAAAGACTTTGAGGACTGGAGTCTTAGGGACAATTTTATAGTAGGGGGTATTGCATGGCTTACAGACACAAGTTAGTTCAG